GTGTATTTATTTATTTACTTTGTCACCCTCGGTAGAGTACTGTGGTGTCATAGCTCACAGCAACCTCAAACTCTTGGACTCAAGTGATTCTCTTGTCTCAGCCTCCCAAGTAGCTGGGACTATGTGTGCCAAAGATGGAAGGAAGAGATATGGATATAGATGAAGAGAGAAAGGTAACTTGAAGCTAGGTTTCTTCCTGACTTTAAATACCATACAAAGAAATTGGCACCTATTGGCAAGGAGAAACAATAGATTTTCCAGCAGGAGGGTGACAATAAGCCTATTCTATAGAAATAAAAATATAGTTTCTGGCATTGGAGCAAATGGAAATTGTGAGAGAAAGAGGTCACCGGCAGAGAAATAGCTACCGTGTTTCCCTGAAAATAAGACACTGTCTTATATTTATTTTTTCTCAAGAAGACACACTAGGGCTTATTTTCAGGGGATGTCTTCCTTTCCGCACCAAAATGCATGGCATGGCTAGGCAGGTACACTGCATAGCCACACCCATCACTAGGTCTTATTATCAGGGTAGGGCTTATATTTAACAAATGCATAGAAATCCTGCTAGGGCTTATTTTCTGGGTAGGTCTTATTTTCGGGGAAACATGGTACTTAATACTCCACATATGAAAAGAATAGTTCTAGAAAGAAGTTGAGTTGAGAGCAGCTGACTTTGTATCCTCAAGCTGAAAAGTTAATAAAAATATATGATCATTAGCAGGTAAGATCAGTCAGAAGAAGAAAAGAGAGAGAGGAAAAAAAAAAGATTAGTCAGTAGAGTGACAAGAGAACTGAAGGAACTTTAAGAAACACTTACATAGAAAGGAATGGAAATCCTTAAATGCTTAAATCTTGTCTTCAAAGATTTAAAATAAAAAAAGTCCAAGAGAAAGTAGTTTTGTAGAATTCTAGTTTCCAGGCAAATTAGGGTAATTTAATGAAATTAAATGGTGTACATATCCTCAGATTCGCAAACCATTTAAAAGACTGATCACAGGCACTGGAACAAATAAAAATGAGTAATTTTCAATTATGTCAGAAGGAATGTAAAATATATTGATAGAATTTATGCAGAACTGTTTCCAATATCAACATTTTAAATGTACATATATAAACCAATTGACCCAGTATTGCCTCCTCTAACAATTTAGCCAACAAATATACTCACAGTGTGCAAACCTATGTAGGTTCAGGAGTTATTCACTGCAGCCTTATTTGTAATAGTAATAAACTAAACAACTACAAACAAGGAAATGGATAACAAAACCACAGTTTATCCATACTGGGGCAGTGAACAAAAGCAGCCACTAAAAAAATGGGTGATCTGAACCTACTGACATGAAAGGATGTCTAGAATAGACTCTTTAACTGTGGGGGTATGTTACAGGAACATATGTAAATAATTATTGCAGTTCTGTTAAAAACAGCAAACTGTCTATGTTCACGTATGAGTTACACAGAAAAAAATATGAAAGAAAAGATCATATGCTTTTAACAGCAATTACTCTAGGGAAGTGGAGACGTGATAAAGCTGGACTTTATACTTTTTATACTTTTTCGTACCATGTCCTACTTAATCCAAAGCATGTATTACTTGGATAAGATTTTTAAAAGTACCAATGCAAATATAAATAGAAAAAAATCAAATGGGAAACTCAAAATGACTGAAAGTTCAATAAGCTGTGAATAAAAACAAACAAACAAACAGAAACGCTGGCAACTGACATTCTTAACCTCAATCTACTATCTTTTTCCACAATGGCACCATTGTCCTCTCAGTTGCCTAAATTGAAAAACCTGGCAGTCACTGTATAACTCTCCCTTTCTCTCCTCCTACCCCATTCTTTTAGTCAGTAAATACTTATCAAGTGCCTTGCCAAGAGCTATTTTAGATATCAAGAAAACCATATGTGTAGTTTGCCTCTGAAAAAATTTGACAAACAAAAGTAAAATTTTGCTAAATCATTTGCAAGTCTTTGTAGCTTCATTCTCTGATATCTTCCCTGCAACCTGATTTATACTATAATTTCCATGGTTCAAATAAGAGATGATAAGGGATAAAATTTCTGCAATTCTCTACTTTCTAAATTTTTCCTTTCACTCCTCTAATATACCTTCATACTATCACTAAAGAGAACCTGATCACATCATTCCTCTTGTGTAAATTCTACAATGCCTCTGTTATCTTCCAAATAAGAAAATAAACTCTAAGAATTACAACAAATATATTTGTATCAGAATGTTTATTAGAGCCCAATTTATAATTGCTAGGTCATGGAAGAAGCCTAAATGCCCGTTGACCCACGAATGGATCAATAAATTGTGGTATATGTACAACATGGAATACTATGCAGCCCTAAAGAAAGATAGAGACTTTACCTCCTTCATGTTTATACGGATGGAATTAGAAAATGTTCTTCTCAGTAAAGTATCTCAAGAATGGAAGAAAAGGTATCCAATGTACACAGTCCTATTTTGAAACTAATTCATAGCTTTTATAGGAATGTCATAACCTAATTATAGCCTTAGAATATGGGAAGGGGGTGGGATTGGGGAGGTGAGGGAGGTGGATGGGGGGAAGGAGGGTGATTGGTGGGGTCACCTATATGGTTTATCTTACAAGGGTACAAGTGAATCTTTCTAAAAGCAGAGTATGAATGTCTTAACTTAATGACTAAGAGAATGACATGAAGGTTATGTTAACCAGTTTGGTGAGAGTATTTTAAAATGTATATGAAAACAGCACACTGTACCTCATGATTGCATTAATGTACATAGTTATGCTATAAGAATTAAAAAAACAAAGAAAATAAACTCTATAACATGGTATGAAAAGTCCCTGATGACGCCTACCTGTGTATTCTCCATCTCCACCACTCCACTTATCCTCCAACCTATGTACTTCACACCAACCATACTGAATTGCTCATTACTAACACTCATATCTTCTCATGTTCCATGCCTTTAAGATGTTACTTCAGCTTAGAATTCCTTTTAGCAAACTTCTGCACATTCTTTAAAACTCTGCTGTATAAGCCTTGGTTTTCTTTTATGGTCTCAGAGGACCTCTGCTATGTATGACCCAGTACCACAGCTGTTTATAGTGGTTTTCTCCTATATGCTCCTAAAGGCCAGACATCACATCTTCTAGTCTTTCTAATCCTAAAGTCTACTTTAACAGCTGGCATAGGGTAGACATTTCATATGTATCTCATGATAAAAAAATAAAGTTGAAATAGCTATGTGACCCTGAGTAAGGCATTTAGCCTGGCATGCAGTTTCCTGGTATATAAAAATGAGAATAATTCTATCTACCGTATTACAGGGTTGTTTTGATAATCATGGGAGAGTAGTTAAATTTCATGGCATAGTATCTGGCACATAGTAAATACTTAGAAAATGCTGGCTTAAAACACTGTTTAAAATTAGGTTTTATAAGCCAGCCAGGGAGAATAGATTTATTGTCCTTATTTATTTGGTAAACTGAACTCTGAATTTCAAAGAAACTTGGAATATAGCTTTCTATAAGTTGGATGCTTTTTCACTACACAACAAGCAATCTCTTTCTTGGTTAGGCTAATTTCCTTATACCAGCAACACTGAACATATCATCCTCATTCTCACTGCAAAAATATATTTTATTTGTCTTTTTTTTTTTTTTTTTGTCTTTTTTGCCTAGAATTTCATCTCTTCTTTCTCCTTAGCTGAACTTTGTAGATACAGGAAAGTCCACAAGGAAATCTTATTTTTATTTCCTCTTTTGTTTTAATATTTATTGCACTTATAGACGTTCTAGCTTTTATGCCATCTTCTCCTAAGATATCGGTCGCCACTGTGAAGAATTATTAGGGTTTCCTGTATAGCCTTTAGTTTTCTACCCCCATTGCCATTTTCTCAAGAAATTCTTTGATAATGTCAGTCTTCACTGACAATTCCATGGCTTGATTTCATATTCAGACTCCAAACTATGTACTTCAATACTGAGCTCTTAATTACCCTGGATTTTCTGCTATTGCTTCATGGATATTAGTCTTAATTCCAACCAGATTGTAAACTCTGAAGTCTTTGACTTTTGTGTCCTCCAACTAAATACAACCCTTAGCACAACAGACTATAAAGTACAACCTTTAGCACAACAGACTATAAATGCTTCCAAATTAACCTCAAAGAAGACATCAAATTCTAAACAAAATTACAAATACTTTTAAGATATCAGTGGGTGACTGAGGACACAATTTTTATTATATTGTCATTTGCCTTCTTTAAATTCATGTGGGATAATAACTAGTGAACTTCTGAGCGCCTCATTTATGCAAGCACACACATTTTTAAAATAAGTATTGTGCTAAAAGAAAGCTCTTTTCCTTAAAATATTTTACTTAGAAACTTGTTGAAATAATGTGTTTCATCATTTGTCACTCAGAACACAATTTGTATTACATTGTCATCTATCTTCTTTAAATCCCATTATGTTAGTATTAATTAGATAAATCATAATCTTTGCTTAAACACATGAAAATGATCTATTTTACATAGATTACCTACATGTTATGAAACATTAAAAATTTAATAATTTTGATATTATGTTTAAAAACACAGCAGAGGAAAGAAATAATTCTTTTTTTTTTTTTTGAGACAGAGCCTCAAGCTGTCCCCCTGGGTAGAGTGCCATGGCTTCACTGCTCACAGCAACCTCCAACTCCTGGGCTCAAGCGAGTCTCCTGCCTCCACCTCCCAAGTAGCTGGGACTACAGGCGCCCGCCACAACGCCCGGCTATTTTTTGGTTGCAGCCATTATTGTTGTTTGGCGAGTCCGGGCTGGATTCGAACCCGCCACCTTAGGTGTATGTGGCTGGTGCCTTAGCCGCTTGAGCAACAGGCGCCAAGCCAAGAAATAATTCTTTTAACAACTATAATATTACATTATCTATATGTGATATGGCTCTAATTGAAACCATTTTTTAAAAAAAATTGGCAAAAACTACTTAGTAAGTTACCTGTAATCATTCCGATCATCAGTTTTCATTCCAGGCCAATCTCTCTTCAGGTATTGACTAGCCAACTTCTGGATCCCCTGTTAAAAAAATACATGTTTTTTTCTAAAGTAAGTATCGTGTTATAAAGGAATCTCTTTTCCTTAAAATATATTACTAAGAAAATCCCAAATTTAATTTTTTTCCAAATCTAATTCTGAAGTAAAGAACCAATGATAAATAGAACACTACAACTTACTTTCTTTATTGTCCAGTTTCCATTTTTAGGAAAAATTAATAACAATGAGAAAATTGAAACTTAATTGATATGTCTTTGACTTCACCAAACTATTTCACTAGCCATAAAAGCAAGCAACCTCTGACATATCACAGGGAACACAGCTGTCCATCTCCACAGAGCTCTGCTTATATAGCTTGACATCTCAGTTTCCCACAATTTCTCAGCTGTGGCACATACTGCATTTATAAATCCCAGCAACCAAACTCTCATACACCAGGAGAATACAAAAATATTCAATTTGGCTCAGTGCCGATAACTCAGCAGGTAGGGCGCCGGCCACATGCACTGGGGCTGGTGGGCTCCAACCCGGCCTGAGCCTGCTAAATAAACAAATGAACGAGCAACAACAACAAAATATTGCCAAGCACTGTGATGGGTGCCTGTTGTCCCAGCTACTAAGGAGGCTGCGGCAAGAGAATCACTTGAGTCCAAGAGTTTGAGGTTTCTGTGAGTTGTGACACCATGGCACTCTACCAAGGGTGACAAGGTCTCCAAAAAAAAAAAAAAATTCAATTTGGGGCAAATATACATTGGCTTGTATAATTAATGAACAAAGCTTGGTGCTAGTCCACTCTAGAAATTCTCAAGACAGATTTTAAAGGTTTTTGCTTTTTTTAAAATAATACCATGGCACAAGTCACTGCAAATGAAAAAAATTAGTTTAAAAAGAAATATATTCACTTGCTATTATCCATATACAACATCAATGTAGATAAATCAGAATATTTGTCTATAATAGGTAGGGCTGAGACATATAGGGCTTTGAATAGAGAAGACCATTTTGTTATGAAGTGAGGTTGAACTACACATTCCAATTATATATTGTATTACTTTTAAAAAATTGATTATTTTTAATTATGGGTACATAATAGTTGCGTATATATATTTATGAGATACATGTGATATTTTAATACAGCCTACAATGTCAAATCAGTGCAATCAGGGTATCTATTCACTTCAACTATTTATCATTTCTTTGTGTTAGGAATATTCCAGTTCTACTCTTACGTATACCATAAAACTTACTGTTGACTAGAAACACTTTGTTGTGTTATGTAAATATTCTTTATTCTATCTAACTATATTTTTGCATCCTTTAGCCATCCCCACTTTATACCCTGCTCCCTCCTCCCCTTCTCAGCTACTGGCAACCGTCATTCTATTCTCTGTCTTCATGAAATCAAGTGTTTTAAATATTTAGCTCCTACGAATGAATGAGAATATGAGAAATTTGTCTTTCTGTGCCTGGCTTGTTTCACTTCACATAATGATCTCCAGTTCCATCCATGTTGTTGCAAATGACAAAATTTCATTCTTTTCTATGGCTGAATATTATTTCATTGTGTGTTATAGCACATTTTCTTTATTCATTCATTCATTGATGGGCACTTATGCTGATATTAAATCTTGTCTATTGCCAGTAGTGTTGTGATAAACATGGACATGCAGATAGCTTTCTGACATACTGATTTTCTTTCTTTTGGATATATACATAACAATGGAATTGTTGGGTCATATGATAGTTCTATGTTTAGTTTCTTGAGGAAACATCTAGTGTTCTCCATAGTGGTTGCACTAATTTACATTCCCACCAACCATATATATGCAGGTTCTCCTTTCTCTACATCCTTGTCAGCACTCATTATTGCCTATCCTTTGGATAAAAGCCATTTTAACTGGGGTGAGATGACATTTCGCTGTCGTTTTGAGTTGCATTTCTCTGATGACTAATGATGTCGAGCATTTTTCCATGAACTTATTGGCAATTTGTATGTCTTCTTTTGAGAAATGTCTATTCAGATCTTTTGCTCATTTTTTAATTGTATTATTTGATTTTTTTCCTACTGAATTGTCAGATCTCAGATGAATGGTTTGCAAATAGTTCCTTCCATTCTGTGGATTACTGCTTCATTTTGTTGACTGTTTCCTTTGCTGTGTAAAAGCTTTTTAGCTTGATGTGATCCCAAATGTCTAATTTTGCTTTGGTTGCTGGTGCTTTTGAGGTATTACTCAAAAAATCATTGCCCATACCAATGTCCTGGGGGCATTTCGCCAATGTTTTCTTTTAGTAGTTTCTTAGTTTCTGGCTTACATGTAAGTTTTTTTGTTTTTTGTTTTTTGAGCCAAAATCTCACTATGTGGCCTTGGTAGAGTTCCATGGCATCTCAGCTCACAGCAACCTCAAACTCTTAGGCTTAAGCAATTCTCTTGACTTAGCCTCCCAAGTAGCTGGGACTACAGGCACCAGCCACCACACCCAGTTATTTTTTTGTTATAGTTGTCATTGTTGTTTAGCAGGCCTAAACAACAGGTTTAGGGTCGGGTTCGAACCCGCCAGCTCCAGTGTATGTGGCCAGCACCCTAACCACTGAGCTATGGGCACTGAGCCTAGATGTAAGTCTTTAATCCATTTTGATTTGATTTTTGTATATGGCATTAGATAAGGATCTAGTATCAATTCTTCTCTATATGGACATCCAGTTTTCCCAGCACTATTTATTGAAGGGACTAGCCTTTACCCAATATATATATGCTTGCCACTTTTGTGGACAATGAGTTCACTAAATGTACTACTTTTAGATAGGAATATATGAGGTCCCCTAACAGTATACCAAGGCCTAATGTAGCTATAGAAATAATTAATGTTGGGATATTCATTTATATGTACATATACATGCAATTTTAACAAGAATATAATGCTGAAATGAAGGACAATAACATTAATTAATAGATTGACTGCTTTAAGTATGAGTTGTTCAAGTAAAATCGATGCCACACTCTATACATGGTACCTTTCTGTTCAGATCTGTTACCAAATCTATTTGACTTAATTAAATCCATTACTTAATGCCTCTATTTTAGTTCAATGAATTCAAAGGGTAGCAAGAACTGTAGAGAAGCTCCTTTGAATTTCAAGTTCCTCCTGAACTTCGCAATAATCTGGTTTTACTATTTCTAGGTATTGGGTATTCTGAGAATTCATATCTACAATACTCCACTTAATATATCTTGTATAATACTTTGAGGAATCTGATTACTAAGTCTTCTCTGAATATGTACAGTATTTTTTCACTTTCCACCTTGTTCATACTGCTGCCTATTTCACTTCATGAAATATTTTCTAACAACTCCATTCCTACTTGCTGAATTCTTACCCTCCTTTTAAACTGGTTTTTAAATTTCCTAATTAAAAAAAAAAGTATATATAGGGAAAAGTGAAAAGTTTCACTGCCTAGGTATTTAATATCATTAATTTTATTTCATTAAAGTATAATAGTTTTATCATTCTTTCTGCATTTATTAACTACATTCTGTTAAGAACTATGCCTCCTGACCCATTTGGTTATACTGAGGTATGGTGCTTACAAGAAAGCCAGGACGAATACCTGATGTCCAGTTTTGGTCCAAAGATGAACAATGCATTTTTAAGGTAACATTATGAACTCACGTATTTTAAATAATAAATGCATTCCAATTAATTATAGTCACTAGTCTATGGCTTAGGAAGTTGGCTCCCATATCATGACCCTAATAAACTGTGATCTATTACATATTACAGTTCTTGTCCTAGACCTGAAATAGCTAGTTCTCCAAGGAATCTTTATTCCTTTCAGAGAGAAACCAGAGATCACAATCTAGGCAAATCCTCACCTTTCAGATTTTATTTTGTGTCTTTCTCTAAAGGCTTTTTCTAATCACAGAATACAAAATAGCTTTTCCTCTACCCAGTTACACTCTCTCACACACACAAACCTATTTATTCATATTCCTTATACACTATTACTTTCTGGGTTAGAAAATATTTTTTGTCTGTTTACTCACTCAAAGCTCCATCAGGTAGGGATCTTACCATTCCTTTAAAAAAAAAAAATCACTATATTCCCAGACAGAGAGCGTAGAATTTAGTTGATGCCAATAATACCCACTGATTGCATTAATCAGTGCCACCTACATTATTCTGTTTCTATTGTGCAATACCCATCTCTTTTTGTGTTTTTGCCATTCTCAGTTAGAAATGTTTGGAACAAACCTTCTCTGGTTGCTAATTTTCATATACACAAAGGAAAAAGAAAACTATACCAGAGTACTGATATTCTGATCAGGTGACTTTAATTTAATAAATAAGCTCCTTAGTAAAATTATAGTAAAAGTCAGGTGTGGTAGTTCACATCTATAATCCTAGCACTTTGGAAGGCTGAGGTGGGAGTAGAGCTTACAGCCAGGAGTTTGAGACCAGCCTAGGCAACATATGGATACTCTTATCTCTACCAACAAAACAAAAAATAAGCTAAGTGTGGTGGTGTGTTTCTATAGTCCTAGCTACTTGGGAGGCTGAGGCAGGAGGATTACTTGAGGCCTGGTTATGGTAACTATGATTGCATCACTGAACTCTAACCTGGTTGACAGAGTGAGCAAGATCCTATCTCCTAAAAAAATAGATAGATAGATAGATATAGATATACACACATATATATATTTTAATTTTTTTGGACCATCCTCACCATCAGAAGAGAACATGTATGTGGATATTCCAAAAGCAATAATAACAACAACAAACCCCAGAAGTTTATTCTCTTAGAAAGCACTATACATTAATTTTTGTGAAGGTTCAAATAAGTCAATATCCCTAAATTCAAAGAATGCATTATCTGTAAAGAGGAATAAGAAGTATGCAATGTGAAATGCCAGGCAATACATGGGTACTGCCAAATAAATAATAAATTGTGACACAAGGAAAAGATCATCTGATATTTTCTTAATTAATCACAGTTAAATAATACAATAGTGACTTTTTTAGTT